ATGAGTCGCCGGTCTAGCGTCCCCAGCGAGTATCCTAGCACCCAACGCGCTTGGAACGGCGCCGAGGAAGAGTTTCGGGTTTTTGAGGACGGAGAAGGTGAACCACAGACGGGGAATGGCGTTCGGAGGTGAATTTTATTTATCCGTTTGGGAATGGTTTAGATTGCTGCATTTAGAGTTCCTGGTTGTTGAGCGTGGCGTATTGCATTGTATCATGATATATAGCGATGCGATGCGATGCGATGCAACATAGGGCGGGATATTTGGTGATTCGTGATGATATAGGATGGATGAGGGACGGCGTTGGTGTTTGGGCCTATCTGTTGGGTAAGCTCCTGTTATCTGTCGCCGCATACCTACCTATCTACCTCTCATATATTTCTCATATATTTCCACCGGAGAGGGCCGGGTTTATCGTCATATAGCCTCCTCTGGTATCCGTCCAAAGAGATTTCCTTATTTCCTGCTCATGCTTCACATACTATCTCTGGGGCACTTTCTGCTAGTATCAGCCTAGGTTTAAAACTTAGGAATATGGCGTTTTGGTGCAGATTTTGCGTCGGTTCTTTGTCTATTTCGAGTCCCCGCTCACGCGAAAACAAAGAGAAGCGAGGGGAATACCATATGGAGAGTGGATGCCAAATCAAATTGGAAAGGGATGAGGTTCTTTCATTAAAAAGATTGGGTTGTATGGCATGATGGGACATACAGCGCGTTGGATAGACGGACGGCATTATGGATGTCTTCGGTGCCTGTGTAGATACCTGGCATTGCTTATTTGTATGGACTACTCCGCTCCGTGCAGACCTATGATAGGTCCTGCAGTCTTCTAACAATTCATATTATTTCGAAGTCATACGTGTACTGCACTTAAACCGTCCGAAGGTGATCTTGATAAGTTAAGTTCTATCGTTTACATTATTGTACCCGTCCGTCGGTGAGTATCACTACCCATGTTTCCGCCGCCTTTTTGTGTGTGCATTCGCATCATCTACCTAACTAAGTTTCTCTTGCATTAGGTAGGAAGTATAAACAAACTATATCGATGTGAACTGAGTCGAGCTGAAGACTGGAAGTCACGGCACAATGTTCCAGATGTTTAAGACATTCACCACATTGGTTTTGATCTTGGCTGCTTGGGTAAAACCCACTACCTGTAGAGCCCGATTTACGGATTTATGCAATGCATTAAAAGCACTAAATTAATCAAATCTGCCTTCACTAAGCCATTGTTGCACGGCATACGCGGCGTCGAGTCGACCAGTTGAAGCTGCAGTAGAGCGTGGCTGGCTGATTTCGCCTTGAGGTATGCCAACGGATGGTAGGCTGACACGGCACGCATATTTCTGATGGAGGGGAATACGTGGCTTGGGAGTCCTGTAGAATAAGGACCTCAGAGCCTGACCCGCGCGATGGTTCTCCTTCTCTCCTTCGCTTCTCTTCTCATGCCACATGAAACTGGGTCGTCGTGATGGACCCATTATCTATTGCTGCCGCCGCTACTGGCTTCGTTTCACTTGGCCTCGACGTCTCAAGTGGAATTATTCGATATTGCAAAGCTTATCAATCTCGGGATGCAGACCTCACCAACTTGCTGCGGCACACCGAAGAACTGGGAGGATTTGTCGACTCTGTCAAGAAACGGACTGACCAGAACTCTAGTAGCAGAGACATCGAGAACCTATTGCTGAGATGTCGTAACGCTTGCGATGCTTGCCGGGATGACTTCAAGCAGCTCAACGCAAAGTATATCAGCATCAAGCCCAATCAGAATATCAAGGAACGCGGCCGGAGAGCTATACAAAGGTTGAAATATCCGTTTGATAAGGAACGACTCGATAATCTCCGATCTGAACTCAAAAACCTCGATGCCGAATTGACTAAATGCTTACAACTGATTAATTTGTAAGTACTATAACCATCCATGACACGCTTCTTTCCACTAATGAATACCTACGTTGAAGGGACACCTCGCGGGAAATAAGGAGCACGATTCATTTCGAGTTTAGCAACATCACACTTGCTGTGAGGTCCACAGGGTTGGAAATCCAGTCCTCCCTCTCCGATGCGAAGCAAACGATAACTACTGAAATGCGCCGTGGCGTTCACGAGTTAGAGTCGTCCTTCCAGCACGGCCTCGGAGACACGGAGAGGAAGATAACGACGTCTTTGAACGGTGGTCTAGACGTCATATCTAACCAAGTTTCCCTTGTCACCGCCAGCCAAGAGGAACAGTCACTGTCACTGAAGCGGCACATGGACCAGCAACTCGAACTTCAACAAAGAAACTTCCAGTCATTCCTCACTCAGGTCTTAGCCGCTGCCCCTAAAGTTAACGACCGGGCGGTATTGCTCGGACAAAACGTTCCTAGTGGTTATTCGATGCAACAAATGGTTCGAGAGGGCATACATTCAGAAGTGCTTACACAAACCGGTTTCGCCTCCCTCTGTACCTGCCCAGGAATACGACGACGGCGCTTGGGTGAAGAGCATCAAGAAAGTTGTAAACTCTCTATTACCAAGCCTAAGAAACGGACCTTCAGCCGAAATTTCCAAGTGTTTCGGCGTGTAATCACTGTAGAGTGGAAGTTGGAATATTTTCAGATGGCTTGGACACGCAGCTGCCGTGTTTATCCTAATCTAACGCTTCAAGCAATTGTACCGCGGAATGCTCCCGCTTTTGAAATTATGCACTCCCTCGAAGATGATATCAGGAAGATAAATACCTCCCGGGAGCTGGGAGTATTATTCGAAAACTGCTTGATCAAACTCAACCAGGTCTTTGTGAGTGGGAAGGGCTGGCCGACGGATGTTTATGGGCAGGGCTGGGGCTTGTTGCTGGTATGTTTACATATCAATTCTACCTCTTGGATGTTCAACTAATACACAACATGTAGCAGCTACTATTAGCAGTCATCTGCAATTCATCAATGGTAGTGTCTAGTGAAACGACAATTATTTTTGTGCAGTTCGTGGCAGCGTTGAAACAAATGGGTGTATTGATGGCCAATCCCAATAAGTAAGATCATCTTTCATACCAACAATTAATACCTAGAGATCAATCTAATACCAGATACAGTATCATTTTACGTCTACTGCTCTATAGTTTACACGAAATTTCTTGTCCTCCCGGGTCGGCCTTTCTAGTCGACAAGTTTCTAGAGATCACAGGAATGGAGCCGACATCGAATTTTCCAGTGGACGATTTATATATATTAACATCAATACGCATTAGGAATACAAAAATATTAGATTGTAAGCGAATTTGGACCTTTTTTTCTTCCTCGCTACAGAAGTAAGGTAAATCTAACGCTATAACAGCTCTTAGTGCCAGCGAACTGATTCGTTCAATCCTTTACCGTCGCGAGGCTGATATTGTCAGCCTTCTGATGAGCGATCCTTCTCTCATCCAGAGCCGTATCGCTTCAGGACAGACGCCACTCCACTTTGCTGCATGCTGGCCTAGAGGCCTCTCGCTCTTGATCGAATATGGAGGTAGATCCGTGGAATCCATAGTTAATCTTCTAGATCGACATGGCTTGACAGCTTTGGAATACGCATTTTCAATGGAAGATGTTGATTCCGTAAGGTTTTTACTCAAAGCAGGCGCAAGTATCAAACCAAGCGCTTTCGAGAACTCTAAGACTTGGTATAGAAACGAGCAAGTCGCCTGCGTTGTCATCGAATCGCTTGCCAAGCAACGAAATGAACTACGAGAATTGGCTCTACGGTATCTTCCCGAAGAAAAGATTCAGGAATTTGAACTCTGGAAGGGCGAACTTCTAGACTACAAAGCATTCCTCGTTGCAGAGGCCTTAAGGCAACAAGGTGTTCCTATGCCCGCCGCCTATGACTTTTTGGAACCTGGCTCGGTTTACCATTGGAAGCGTCTAGACCTTTTCATAGTCCGAAAACTACATGAAGTTGGATTTTACGATGTAGACTCCAAGTTATACGGTTATACTCCTGTGTGCCGTATTATTGATATAGGGGTCGATCTTGAGAGATGTCTTAAACTTATCGGATGGTTCGAAGACCACGGAGTCGACTTGTACGCCCCGGTCTCTGTGTCTAAAAGTTCGCTCCAGGCGAATGACACTTCGAGAATCGACAATAGTCCTAACTTCGATGCTACACAGGTCATTCCGACAATACATTTGATGATGCTAAATATAGGGATATTAGTACACGACTGGCTAGCTTATGGGCATTCTGTTAGACAGCTTGATGCGGTTCTTACATCACAGCGGTCGATATTGTTGAAACTGTTTGGGGACGCAACAACGGACTCTTGCACTTGTTATTGCACTAACAAGGGGTGCACTCCTTCTTCGCAATATCTATATTCTATCCTCGAGAGGGATCGCGATTTTTGCGTTCATCTAAGCAAATCCCATGCAATGTATCCGCCGAAATCAGTGATACCCAACAGCGACAATCACAGGATCTCACTGGAATGCATTCGTCTCATTACCTTTACAAGACTTGGCATGACACACACGTGCTGCCGGGTTAGCGATTCTGGTACCAGAATATACCCATCTTACGGGTTTCATGTCCTAGATCCGCCTGAAATCAAGGAGATACAGGAAGAAGAGCGACACCTAGCGGATAAGCTAGAAGCTCTAACGAGGGAGTTTGAGGGAAAGTTTCGACAGATGCGAGTACCAATGCGTCAATTTCTGGAAGAATATATGTGGTCTAGACTTGATGAGGTTGAAAAGGAGCGAGATAGGTTGTCAGAAGAGGAGCTCCGCGGTATCAAGGAGACTGGCACCATTCTATATGAAGACTAAATCTTCAGCGATAACCTAAAATTCCACCAATCATAGAACCCACTCAATCCAAAATAGGCAGTAAATAGAGAGAGGCAAAAAAAAAAAAAGTAATCATAGTATAATTGCAACCACAGTTCCAATAGAAACAGAAGGGCAATCGATTACAGGGAGATGATGGAGAAAAAGATAAACTTCCACACACGGCAAGCGTTGTAAAAGTGATGCCCAACACAGGAGTCGAACCTGTTGCCTCCTCATTTCACTGGGAGATACTAGTGAGGCGCTCTACCGGTGAGCTAGTCGGGCTGATGGATGATGAATTTGCTGGCAAACTACCATATATTCAATGCAAGCTTTGCACCAATCAGAGAATTACACCCCGCAATGTTGATTGCGCGGAGTCAAAATCGCCAACACCATTTCATAAACCTGAGAGACTTGTTCACTGCTATCTCGTTTACCTCCGACAGGCTCATCAAAGAAGTGGTGAATTGGCAATTGAAGCCGAGTGACGAATGATGATTTCAAGAGAGGATGATTTCTGCACAATGGCTTCGCTCCCTGAACTTACCGGTGCACAACCACCCCTTTACGAAACTACATTAACTTACTGTACTTTTCTAACCCGACACAGCACAATAATCACTTGAACATACGAAAAGACCCAACAGTGGTATGTGCAGAATGCATTCGCGAAATTACTAACGTATCTACCTAAGCCACTATGTGCGCGTGAAGGATTACCAGCGCGAATCTACCACGTAGTAGTATTTAGCTCATTCGTTGCTAACTGGCATGCGATCGGATGCAGTTTTGCCAGTCCATCCGTTCGTCCAGCCCGTCTTTGCCGTCGTGCCTCGGGGGAGGCTAGTAATCTATTATACATTGGCAATGCGGTCCCCCTCCCCCCTTCACCTGATTTTTTTTTTCTTTTTTGAGTCTTTAGTATTTTTATCATTTCTCTTCTTGAAGCCAATAGCAAACTTTTCCTATTCCTTTTGCAAACTCAAACGCCTGTTTGAAATGAATTCAAAGAGTATGTCGTAGGTCGTGAGTTGTATTTCGTGGGGATCCGATCGGTGATGTGATGGGGCTGATGTAATGTCGGCGATGGGATATCAGCGGTGTTGCTCATCTCTGCTAGGCCTCCTTGTCGGCGATGATGGTAACCAGCAGCTCCTTGCCATGTAGGTCACCCGCGTAGTGAGTCGCCGAAGAACTGCACCGATTAGAGCAGGGCTTGCTGATGAACGCACAGAGTGTGCGGTGAAAAGTGAAGATTTAATGAACCGAATGAAACTTCGCCTCCCATAAGGTCATTCCGTCGTGTCGTCGTGCGAATCTCATAGTAAGCCGAAAGAAAGAAACCATTTCCTTCCATTGAACCGAAAAGAGAGAACCGAGAAACTGGAAATGAAAAGACGAACGCGCCTGCGTGCGAACGGAGGCGGCGAGATGACTTGAAGGAAATCTAACGTAGCGTGGATGTGTCTGAACGGAAAGGGGATCAATCTTGTGATGTGGTATAGCAGACTCTGTTGTCGAAATGTCGAAATGTGAAACCGAAATAAGCCTGAAAGGATAGGATATGTGTGTTATCCCATCCAATGAAATGGCGTCCATAGTTAGGCCAAAGCCATGAGCATTATTCAATGTAGTTTCATTGTATGCTCCTTTGGCTTGAAGAGATCTCCAAATCCCTGAAAGATGTCTCCCTCTGCGATATTAATATCATAATATCGCAAGTAGTGTTCCGTCTCAGCAGAAGATGACTTAGGGTAGACGCGGAACACCTGGGTTTGTGCCCAAAGCCGAATTGCCGTTGTCGCCAGACTCAGTCTTGGTACCACCCTCTAGTGACTCCAGGGAAGAATAAGGGTTCGCTGCCGGGATGGAAATACCTCCAGTTCTTAGCTGAACTTGACTCGAGGGAACGGCGTAGTCTGCCATGCGAGGCATGATTGTGGCTGAAGTCATAGTTGAAGTGCGAGAAGGAGGTCCAATGGGTCCAAACGGAGAACCGTACGACACTGTAAGGTCAGAGTTAGTTAATGCATGTCTTGGACCTTCCCCTCATACACATCCTGTGCGGGGTTATATGATAGATCGGACGGAAGAGAGTAAAGAAAAAAAGAAAGAAAAAAAGAAAGCAACATACCAAGAGGATTGGGGTTGCGCATGGTAGCACCAGTGTTTCGCGGATTCATTCCACGACCAGCTCCCAGCGACTTCGGTTCAGAATGATGAAAATCACCACTGCGACGCCAAGTTGGAAGACCTCCAGTCGGTCCATGTCCCATTCCATGCTCCTCTCCACGAGTTCCCATACCACTTGAACCAATGGAAGCACCAGAAGAATGGCCAGCCGCAGCACTACCACTGCGTCCCATAAATCGATGATCGCCACTAAGTCGAGCAGGCTCTTCACCAGCAATGGCAAGAGCACCACCACTGCCACCTGGGCCTCCCATTCCATGACCAGAAGTGATAGCGGGTACCTCTCTCTGGCGTGATAGCTCCGCTTGATGTTTCTTCCACCAAGCAGGGAAACCATGGAACAGGCCAAGTTGGTGCTGAGTCACCTTGTCAAAGGGCATCTCATGCTTGTACTTGCAGCCTTGCTGAGTGAAAGCACAAACACCCTCATGCACCCACTTGTCGCAGTAGATCTTAGGGCGACGCTGAGGCTGTTGACCATGTGCGCCATGGGTCCCTTGAACTACATGACCACCATGACCACCGCCATGTCCTCCGTGACCAGATTGACCTCCGTGCTGGCTGATGTTCTGCTGATGAGCGTTGCCAATGCTGGTAGTCGCAACTACAGTCGACGAGGAGGATCCAGGGCCCATGCCACTCACACCTACACTTGTCGCCGGGGACATGGAGAGTGAGGCATGATGGCGGGTTGGAGTGGGTGGAGTCGATGCAACGATGATATTGTCAATTCGTGACTGCCACCAAAGAAGTTGTTAGTTGAAGAATAACAAGTTGCGGGGTAGTGGGGTACTAATAGGTGATAGATGCGATGAAAGCGTGAAAAAAAGGGGGGGGGGGGGGGGCAGAGGTACGCCACGCAAATTGGATATTTTTGGAGATTCGCGTTTGCACGAATTCAATGTCCAGAGATGCGCACAGTGGCGTTAATTGGTGGGGTAATCAAAGGGGAAAAAACAATTAAAAGGAAGGTGCAATTATTTCCATAAGGTATAAACCGTCACCCTGGCGAACAACAAGGAAATAATATAATAATAAAAAATCAATGCGCAACTCACCTGAATGTTGTCCGACGGCGTTGTGGGTGTGTTAGGAGGGCTCTGTATCACTAGTTAGCACGTCTATTCCATCAAAGCCATATGCAAGAAAATATAGACCAATGTAGGTACCAAGCGGTAGCTTACTCGCAGAGAAACCGGCTCGGTGTTGCTGGATCGTCCGTTGGAAGGCACGCCTCGTGGCTGCGGGAGCACCAGCATACCCTGTTTGCCCTGCTGTAGCTTGGGAATATCCTTGAGGGCAGGAAGCATGTCGGCTGGGATCAGACGGGTGTATTGGCCGTTGCCGCGATCGTAGCAGTAGGCATAGCTGGCGTCGAGGTGCATCTCTGCTGCCGCCATTGCCTGGGGACTGGCGCCGGGGTTGTTGTAAGCCGGAATGTTGGCCGCTCGCTGCTGCGAAAACTGATCCATGCTGGAGCCTGTGTAAGATGAAGAATGTTGGTGTTGTCTCGTGGTGTTAGAACCAGTAGAAGTGTGGTGGGTGTTGTGGGAACTAGAGGTAGGATCGAAAGGACCGTAGTCGTCGGCGTTGCTGCGAGAAGAAATAGGTGAAAGAGGAAGTTCCTCGGTTGGCTGCGATCTCCAGTTGCTAGATGCCATGCTGCGGGCAGGAAGGTTGGTCTGAGGTGATGGTTGTTGTTGCTGTTGAGATTGTGGCTGCATCACAGATCGAAGCGTTTGCGCCTGGAAAGAGAGTTGCTGTTGCGGTGGCTGCGGCTGCGGCTGCGGCTGCTGAGATGATTGTTGGACTTGATTAACGTCCTGGCCACGATCTGTAGAGAGCTTGTTTCTACGATTGTTGACGGACTGGAAAGGATTTCTCTCCATAGTAGGTTGACGATCGAGAAGAGTCGAGGTGTTGGAGGAGGAGGGGTTGTGATCTATATCGTTGATGTTGATAGAATTAAGATCGAGTAGAGGCGAGTCCCTTAGAGAAGGAGGATGAGAAGAAGGAGAACTAGGCCCAGAACTAAAATGGGAATGGGCAGCAGAATTGGGACCCAAAGGGGAAAGAGAAGGTGAAGGGGGGGAAGAATTAGAAGAGGAAGTGGCGGTGATGGAGTTGGGAGAGGTGTTGCGAGTAGTAGAGGTGCGAGATGCCCCGGAAGAGTAAGACAAGCCGGAGGGGGAGTTTACAGCTGTCGACCCGGACACGGTGGGGAGGGGAGAGGTATCCATATCGAAGATGAGCAAATCGATTTAAAATGAATCGTGGCTGCTGGGAAATATCAAAAGAGACCGGAGAGCAAACGGGCAAGGCTGGGCACGCGCTTTATTTATACCGACGTGTGTGGCATTACACCCAATACCGGCGGACCAAGTCGTACAAGACAATATCTAGGGCTTCGACTTGGGATGAAACTTCCAATCATTAATACTAGTAGCTTAGGTAGTTACCTGGCGTTTTACCTGGCGTTGATGGAAGTTGGTAGGAGAGATGTCGGGACTAACATACCTACCTCTATACCTACCTACTTACTGTTCCTATAAAAGAAATAAAAAAAAGGAGCTGAGACCTTCTCTTTCTATCGAACAAGCTGGACACGCATGCAAGCCATGCAATCATACCTTACCTATCCACCTCTATGCATAACAGAAAAGAATTACCATCGTCGCCGTTTGCTGAAAAACCTCAAATAAAATAAGGTTGGATGCATCCTACGGTTACCTGCAGCTATGTCTTGTGTTTCCCACGTGACAAACGGTCTGTATAGTCGGACAAGACAAAACAAAAAAGCCACAGTAGAAAAATGTCTTGGCTACAAACCAAAGAATTTATGCAATGTTTTTATTTCATTTACATATGTTAATGCTATTTTAGTTGTTTTTTAGTCTTTCCGAAACGGAATCGAAATCATTACGAGGTGCCTAAGTAACTGACTGTACAGCAATCCAGCATCATGATATGTGTAGGCAGCAGCCGTATCGGTCTGTCTGTCCTTATCTGCAAACAAGCAAAAAGCAATCCAGTGGTATCATTACCAAGTAGTTATCCATGAGGATAATTCAAAGGATGGAAAAATCGTC